CTTTTTATGAACATATCTGTCGATGCAGGTACTGATGCTGATACAAAAACAAAAACTGCAGCACTAAATTTACCTGCATTACAGAAAGATTTAATATTTCTGTAGGGTTACAAGTGCAGTAAGCTGAATAAAATGCAAAACATTCATAAATACATCATCAAATATCAATCTGAAATATTTTTGATATCTAAACATCTGTCCAATTCCAATGGGGTCCCAATGTGTATACATATGTTATTTAAAAGTATATGCTTGTTTTTTCTCTCTCTCCTCCTTTTTCTCTCTTTCTCTGTCTCCATCTTCCTCTCTCTGTCTCTGCTCTTGTATGAGGCAGCAGATGGTCTGTAGTCATTAGTGTATTGTCAGTGCCTGTGATGGGCTTGATAACCACTGAGCACTGCTTGGAATGACAGGTGCATGACCCTGGCCCCCACCATCTGCTGGCCCTGCCCACACACACACACACACACACACACACACACACATACACGACTCTCAAGGAGGAGCCTTCTCCACAAGACCTGCCTCTAAATTTTTAATAGGAGAGTGTTTACTCTTGCCCCTGCTCAGCATTCACTAAAACCTGACCCCATCAGAGCTGAGGACCAGTATCTATTCAGAGAAAAAAGATCTCCCCTTCACATTTCAATATCAAACATTTTAATTTCTACTGGGATGTATTGATGAAAGCTAGAAAAAGGGGGGTGACCCTAAGGAAGAAAGCCAAATACAAAAAATAGATGTGACAAAAGAGGAGGAAAGATTAAACCTGCAGATCTAGCCGATGTACAGCTGCTTCCTTTTACGGGTGGGTGATATGGCCATAATAGTGCATCACAATACTTCAAGACATTTTCATGATCTATGACATGTATTACAATATTTAGGTTTTTGATGTTTGATATTCCATCCAGCATTTTCTGTTGACATCAGCCCAATACTCAAACATATTCAACAAGAAACGGAAGAGAGCAAAGTAAGATGTCATAAAGAGCTGACATCAATCTTCTGCATGCAGATAATATTGATAATATGATGAAACATCCAGAAGTACTGACAATACCCATAACATACTCAGAAAAATATACTATAACATAAACTATCACAATAACAATAGCATATAACATATCGCCTACCCCTACTACCTGCGGGTGTCCCTTTAAGCACCCAACGGCTGGCAGAAAACAATAAAACAGAAAACTCATAAATATAATTACCCCTCCCCTCATAGACCTGCTAAATAATTTTGAGTTATGCTCCCTGAATGTATTTGTGCACACTTGTTTATGGTGCACATGAGCTTCTTTAAAGCTCTTTTCAATGTTTGTAGAGAACTGAAGGAATTGATTTGCATTCTAACTACAGTCTCCTTTGGTGTGTGTGTGTGTGTGTGTGTGCTGACAGGGGAGGAGCTACGCTAAGTGTGTATGGCTGTAGTAAACACACTGCCTATCCACGCTCTTATCTCTACTCAATGGAGCGTGCTGATTAGGCCGGCACTGGCACTACTCCCTATCAGGCTTTTCCGGAAAAAAATAACAGCACTGTGTTCTTTCACTCCGACTGATCTTTTGTTTTTGCGGAATGCTGGCGCTAACCAATCACAGAGCATGCCGGATAAGCATTAGTATGCGTGTGAGTGTGTGTGTGTGTTGGTCTCCGCCCACTGTTCCAGAGGTTCTGTAGCTGTGGGCTATGTCTTTCTCCTCGGCCCACTTCTCTGACGTAAACTAGAGTACTACAGGTACACCTGCTCTACCAGAAAGCCTGCTCTGACAACACACAGACCTAAACAAGCACAACAAAGCCCCACACACCCACACACACAAACACTGTACAGGAAATCAGCTCTGTGTGAGCCTTTGATGGATCACATGTGAGTGTTACTGTGTGTGTGCTGTTTAGTTGAGAGGGCTACCTCTTTAAAGGCTCATTCATCACAGGCTCTATTCTGTGAGTGTGTACACGTGCTCACTTAATTGGATCCCACTCCTCAAATGTTTGTCATGGTTGTGTTAAGAGCGTTAGTCACTCGCTATGGCCTGGGGTAGTCCCTGTGCAGACGTGATGCACCCCACATAGTCACGCCCACGTATTAGGGGTGGCCAATATGGTGAAAATATCACAATATTTAAAGACACTTTCAGGATACATGACACATTTCATCATATTTCATTTTAGCACTGGTACTTAAGTGCACCAGTAGCTAAAATGCTATTAAAAGGATATGAGTATAATGATTTTAATTCATCATTTCACATACTAATTCCAGTTACACAGGATTCATTCTGCTTTTTTGAAAATTTTAAAACATACAGTTGGTCAGAGAAGTACTGATGATATCCACAATATACTTATGTACTTATGTAAAAAAAAAAAATGTATCATAATAATGATAATGTATCATCATATTGCCGACACCTACCATTTACATACATGCTCACAGGTTAGCATTTATACAGTGTCAAACACTGTCAGGACATTGGGGTCATACATATGTCCTAGTGGTGAATTTTGATGACCAATTCCATCTCCGATTCCTTTCCAAACAAATTGGCAGATTTTTATTAGGCTGATTTTATTAGCCTTATTAAACCTGAAGCTCAGACTGTGTTTGATTAGCCAAAGGTGTAACATGACATTATTTGTTCTTTAATTGGCCAACCTTTATTGCATTTTATATTTGAAAATGAAAAAAAAATCAGTTGATTTCAGAACTTGCACTTTTAAGTAGGGAAATTTAACTTAATAACATGGAGCTTATGAACTGCTTGTAGATGAGCTACACTGGTGTTCTTGGCCAAAAAAACAGGTCTGGAGCTAATTTATTAGAGATTAATGAAGGTTAATTGCAATTTGTCAGGAAAATCACAATTAGATATTTTCCCCAAATAGTTATGCATTATTATACAACAATAATGGTATAATATGCTATGGTATAGGTGCATATATAGTGCACTTTTCTGCCTCATAGTATTGATCATCATAAAATTGCAACACAGGCTGCCAAAATGATACGTTTGTTTGTGTTTGGAACAAACATTAGCCTATTCCAATTGTACACTCCTAATATATACTGAAATATAATGAAAGTGTTCTAAGCCAAACCCTAAATCTAAATCTAACCCTCGATAACCAAAAGAAAATTTTCATTGCAGAACACATAATATGCCACTTTTAAAAAAATGTCTTTTTTTCATGGTATGCATTGTTGGGAGTCGGCTTTACACACACAAAATTATCAATGCTATATTATGATTAATACTACCTTTAATACCACCTCAAGAACTCATTATACCCAAGGTTCTTTCTAACTACAGTGTTATGGAATTAAACCCTTCAAATATTTCTGCTCTTTTAGTTTAAAAGAGACATCTGTAGGTTTTGTAAAAGCACTGTATAAAGTCACTAATGTTTGGCAGGCCTAACATTTTAGGCTTGCTCTGCATTTCTCTACTTTTCCTATGAAGTGAGGACATTTTGTCCTGAAAACATATGAAAACAAACATACAAACTCTCTCTCTCTCTCTCACACACACACACACACACACACACACACACTGGAGAGTTCACTTCCCTATTATCTGTGCCTGTATGTAAACAGCACTCTTTGGCTATGACTGATAATTAGAGTCTCATTCATGTAAACATAAATCTGGCCTTCTACGATGTAAGAGTTACAAAAGGTAAGTTCCTCTTAGAAAAACTGTCAGGTTGGGAAAACAAGCAGGCATTCACTTGTCTGAGCTACTGCTGTGAACAGACTGCATTCCTGCCCTGAAATCCAGTACCTGCCAAATGATAAACAACAGACTCACTTGTTTCTCTGGGGGGCCAATGGAGAGCAACACACACACACACACACACACACATACACAAAATGTGAAACAGAGAGAGGGATCAAGAGAGACACTGGGCTCAGATTGGAGTAAAACTAATGACTGCATTAAAGCAACTGCAACAGATGTCATGTTCACAGCATCTCTCTACAGTGCTGTTCATTGGACCGAAAGAGCATTTGTGGTGCATACAGCGCCCCCTCACACATATACCCACTACATAGCCCTGTGTAAGCCTCATCATTATAGCATGATCACTCCAGCCTTCATCCCATTTCCTCACTCACCTCCCACACTGGACTGCAAAACATGCTGAGATGTAATGCTCAGCTCAGAATAAAAACTGCACTATAATTCTACAGCGATTTCTCCAGCATTTATCTCGGTTATTACCCTGTCGACTAAACTGTATCACAGAACATGAAGAACATGTGAGTTCGGGTTCATCAGTCTTTTACCTCCTGGGGAAAGCCGTGCTCTAACGTCAAATCCAGAGTGTTGAACCCCTTTAAGCTAATTCAAACAACGATGAATAAAGCAGATGATATAAATATGTATTTGTTATGAATACCAGGGTTAGGGAGCACTAAAGGTATCAACCAGGAATATTGCGGGTAGCCGCTAAATTGCATGCCAGGGGAATCAGAGGGATACCTTATAATCTTTAAACATGGGATGTTGACATTTTTATGTTTTTTCATGTCAGACCGCCTAAACAAGCCTCAGAAGCCTTAAGGCTGTCGGCTCAAGTCTTACATTTGAATAGTCTGGCAACGTGCAGGCACTGGGAAATCATTAAAGAAGGCGGTTGAGGTTTTTCCCATGTGAATCAGGAAATCTCAAAAGGGCGCTGGCATACTGACAGCAGTTTACAAATGCGCTAAGACTGAATGACATACAGCAGCAGCCACACACTCTCCACACTGGTGTGTAATCTATATACCATGCCACTTCAGTCACCTACTCTCCTACTATTTCCCTCAAGTCATTTTTATACATGTGATATACAGAAATCTCTCTGCTTAGTCCTGTGACCTTTGTAGTTCCTTGCACACATTTACGTAACATTCATTGCATAAACATAAAAATATTTACATTTCCAAACATTTACAGCATGCAAAAGAAAACCTACATTATAAGCAAAACACATAGCCAGCTCACCTTTTACCACTGTTGCAGTCTCCTTGAACCCAAGGCTGACGTACGGACTGGCATGTATTGCATTGATGCCTCGTTTGCAGCAGCTGGCAGCTTTGAACCTGACAAGAGCATCGCAACTGGCCAGCCCCTCATCCATCAGGTTTAAGGCAATGTAGTTGAGCCCATTCTGGAAGCCCGCCGATGTCTCCCTGCACATGGGGCTGCCGTACTCGTCTTCAGAGAATTCGCCATTCCTGGCCAGAGCAGAAACGTTCTCCACGGAGGCCGAGCCAAGACGCCGGGTGTCGTGCGCGAAGGAGGGGAAAACGGGTGTGACGGTAGTGGTGGATGAGAAGGTTTCTGAGCTATGCCTCCTGCGCCCCTGGGGATCCGCGCGGATCACTTTGGCACCCCGGTCTGGATCCAGTGCGGGCGCGGCGGGGGCACCCCTCAGCAGGAACGACTCGACAGGGGGTAAACCCACAGCATCATCCAAATTTAACCTCTGCACGCAGGAGGATGGGCTGGTGGTTTGGGAACATTCAGTGGGCTGAGGCGTGGGCTGAGGAGGAGAGGCGGACACGCAAAATGTTATTTCTGTGTGATCGTCTTTAGTTGCGGCTGTGCCAGCCTTGCATGAGGGTGCCACCTGTGCTGTGAGGCGGTAACACTCCACTCCCCCCTCCTCCTCCTCAGGTTGGGCGGGGCAGGCTGCCAGCTCTGGCACAGCATCTACAGGGCTGAACGGGACGGCTTCACCAGATTTGGGTGACTCTGAGCTCACGTTAATGTTCATATAGTCTGAAAGAGGGGACCTCCTCTGCTCACCAGAGGAGCTGAGGGATGAGGCGGGGCTCTCTACAGAGGATGGGGAGTGCTTCTGGGTACCAAAATCTATGTTGATGTACTCACCAGGGCTTTTAGGCTCAGGGGGAAGGGGGTGTTCGTTCATGCTGGGCAGCATGCGGAGCAAGTCCAGGGGGAGGCGTGTGGGTCGGCACATCCTGGATCTGTGGAGCAGATCAGCCCTGCCTTGCCTCAGAGAAGAGGGAGCATTTTTGGAAGCTGTTTTTGTCGGCTCCTCCTCTATCTTCTGACTCTGAAGGCTCATAAGGACGTACTGATCACTGTCTCCATTCTTGGAGTTCTGCTGGGGCTTGTAGCAGCGGGGCAGAGAGCTGTAAGAGCAGGGCTGTCTGAGAGGAGGGGGATGCTCCATGCCACCTGCGGTGGTAAGAAAGTAATCTGGGGGAGTGACTGAAACACAGGGGTCTACCGGTGACATGTTAAGGTACTCACTGTTGGGCAGCTTTCCGTCTGAGCTCTCCACAGAGAACCTGGAGCCGCACAGCATCCTCATATAGCCACTGTCGTCCAAAGAACAGCTGCTGGGCGAGCTGGTCCTGGAGCCATTGGCCACTGTGAGGGGGTGTGTCCTGGGATTGATGATTTGCTTTGGTGCTGAAACACACATCGGGCTCATGGGCATGTAGTTTTCAGTTCTGCACCCCTGCGGGGCCATTGGCATGTAGCCATCGTCCCCCAGGTTGCCACTGGAGCTTTTCTGTAAGGATCCGATTTCAATGTCCCCATAATCCTCAGGGTACGTGATTTTTGGGGAAGCAGCGTGCGAGCCGCGCCCCGAATGCCCTCCATTCATGAAAGTGGCCCTCATGAGCGTGTACTCATCCAGTGAGGCAGAAGACACTTGTGACGGCCCCCTCTTCTGGTGAGGCATGGTGAGAGAGTATGTCCTCTTCCTATAGGCTTTCTCCAGGTCCCCAATGCCCTCAGGGGTGAGTATCCCATGGCAGCGCTGAAAAAGGTTCCCGCAGCTCTGTTTCTCCATGATCATGTATCCATACAGGTCACTGCCATCCTGTGAAGGTGGCGTGTTCGTGAAGGACTCAGGCGTGTTGCTGCGGTGAGTCATAAGCAGATGGCGCAGGTGCTCCGCTGGGCTGGAGCTACACTCCTCACAGGAAATGAAGCCGGCATCACTGGGTGATCCGGACACGGACGCCGCAGGCCGGGGGATGCTCTCCAGATTTGCACTTCCAGAGGGCACAACCACAGGGCTGGTGGCTGAAGGAGGGGAGCGGGAGGCGGGCAGACACATGGACCTACTGTGCTGGAGGGAGGAGCAGGAGGATTCAGGTGTCCTGCATGGGCGGCCAGTCACGGTGTTGGAACGGCTCAACTGCGTCCGGTCCACTCCAGGGCTGACCGGACTCCCACACCCTGACCGTGTCGTCGTCGTTGTCGACCCGTCTCCCTCGCTGGCCGTGCGCCCCCGACAGGCGGCGCCTCTGCTCGCCGCGGTAGCCGCGCTCTCGGTGCGCGCGCGCCGCGGCAGTCCCGTGCGGCTTGGCGGCGCGTTATGCAGGTGGTGGCGCCTCGTGGGCACCGCGACCGGGTTGCTTCCCCCCGATGCTGACGACGTTGACGACGACTGGCTTTTGCTGCGTGGCCGGAACTCGCACAGCTCCTTCATGGCGCGCATTGCCTCGAGCACGGTCTCGTGGATGCTCTGCGCCACCACGGCGTCGTCTGCCTGCATCCACAGCTCGCCTGGTCCCGTGGCCGCCGAGCGCCCCACCTCCACGAAGAAGAAACTGTCCGAGTGTCCGCAGCGGCGCACGTTCATCAGTTGCAGGCTAACAGCGGCAACGTCCGAGTTTAGCTTGACGAAGCTGAGCGCGCGGCTCGACAGGCACAGCCGGTGCACGCCGGTCAGGTTGCGGCTCTGGCCGAGCCCGCGCGGCTTCACGTTCACCTGCCACACCTCCCGATAGGCGCCGGCGCCCGTGCCCTGCGCGATTACGCCGTAGCTCGACTCGTCGAAACCCACGAGCGCCGAGGCAGAGTGAGCGCGCGCGCCGCCAGCGCACGCCCGCCCCTCGCTCACTGCTTCGGCCAGCACGCGGAACCAGCTCTCCTGCTCCTGCTCGTTCTCGGCCGCCACGGCAAAGTACTCGTCCTTGGTGTAGAGGGCGATCAGGTGCTTGTGCTTGGCGTCCGCGCGCTTGTTGATGTTCAGGCACGAGTCGAGCGCCACGACGCGCCGCGCCGCCGCCCGGTTCCTCCACTTCTTCTCGCTCTCGTAATACTCGAGGCGCGGCGCGCAGCCCTCGCCCGGCCCGCGCAGCACGAAGAAGCGCTTGTGTCCGTGCTTCTGCTTCCTCAGGTAGCCGCACTTCTTCACGCTCGGGTCCAAGAGCGCTTGGCCGCCGTCGGCTGGAGGCGGACTCGCCATCCTCGCGTCCCGGGGAACGCTCGTACCTTGTTCGGTTATGAAGCTGAACGAGACGAGACGAGCCGGGCAGAAGAAACGCGCTGCGAGTCGGTGAGACTGTGAGACTCTTTTTAACGCCGCTCCAGCCTCACGAGCGCTCAAACGGTAAATAACACATATCGCCTACTGACTGGAGGGAAGAGGGGGGAAAACAACATGTGACGTCCTACACATCCAGCTACGGTTACAAAAAAAAAAAGGAGGAAAAAAATACACACACTCGTACACACTCACTCACACACTGCTACGAGGCGCTGAGACCGTAGGGGAAGGCGTAGCTGCCAATCCGCCCAATCTGATCGAGCTCTTTTCATTCATTGGTCGAAGCGAGTGAATGGTAGTGAAGCACGCGCCGCACGGAGGCAACAAACCCCGCCCTCCTGCCCCGCCCACCAACCGCCTCTACTCTGCTGCCTCAACTAGACAGTAAAGACTACATCGCAGCGACTCCCGTTTAAAAACACTTCATTTTGTCGTTTAACAGGGAAAGGCGCTTTACTACGCTGTGGTAGAAAACGGAGACAATGGTTTGTTTTTAGCTGTAGGTTTTACTAGTGCTTCTCGCTGTCGACACAGTTGAGGTGGCGTTTGGTTTGGCTACTTTTAAGTCGTTACTGCTAGAGAGAGCTTCATACATCCGTCTGTAGTGTGTAATGCGACGTGTAACGGGTTAGTAAGCTAACTGAGGGCTAACTCGTAGCCACTTGTTTCTGATAGCCGACTATGGGCTTCATTTTACTCACTACATATGGTAACGAGGGGGTTCATAATTCACAAAACATCAGCACTTTAATATTTCAGGAACGTCACGTTACAGTTTCGTTTAATATCTGTTACATATCATAGCTGAAAAGTTGAAAGACGTCTTAAAGAGTCACCTGAGGTGGCTCAGCACAAAGCATGTCCATTTCGCCTCGGCCACTTTGTAAACAAGGATCAGCTCGTTTCCCACATGGCTCTGACGAGCTGCTCCGCCTTTCTGCATTAACATACAGGCAGCTCCTGCTCCCCCGTCCTATTAGCCCTCCACCCCGATGCAGCCTGCCCGGCTGTTTTACACCCCTTTGGCTCGTAAGAAGTCATTTCACTGTGAAGCTGTACAGAGCCCTGAAACCTCACAGCTGCGTAACGCCAGCCGTGCTCCGTGTTAAAGAGAATGCTGCCTCTAGCGTTTCCCTCTAGAGCTGCAGGCTTTACAGAGAGACGGTCCATGTCCAAAAGTTTGTAGACATCAGCTCACCCAACGTTTTTTCTGAAACCATTTGTATTAATATGAGTTTGTCCCTCCCTTTGCTGCAGTATCAGCCTCTACTCTTGGATGAAGGCTTTACACTAAATGTTGGAACATTGCTGTGAGGATTTGCATTCAGCCATAAGAGCATTAGTGAGGTCAGGTACTGATGTTAGTTGATTAGTTCTGGATCACAAACTCATCTCAGAGGTATTGGATGGTGCTCTATCACTCCAGAGAACACAGTTTCACTGCTCCACAGCCCACTGCTGGGGGGCTTTATATCCTTCTAGATGAATCTTGGCATTGGGCCTGGTGACCTTGGGCTCATGCACATATCAAAGCACCCCATTCTGCTGTCACTGAAAGCCTGTTTTAGCAATCAGTGCTGATTAATAAATCAATAATTCACTAATTAGATCATTTATTAATAATTTAGTAATTGCAGTCATGTGAAGAAGTAAGTACACCCAATGAAAAACTTTGTCTTTTCAACATATTTGGAGATACAGATATCAAGTCTTCATCTAAACAGTGTTGATAGATAAAAGTGATATAATTTAACAAGTGACACTTATAATAAACATTTTTGTTCGTCCTTTATCAATTTGAAATAAACAGCAATGTGATTTTCTAATGTAGAAAAAGTAAGTGCCCACCTACATGTATCACTACTTAAAATGTGTTAAACTGAAATCAGTTGCAGCCAATCAAGTGCTAATAATTAGAGTACTGTTAAGGAATATTTTGGAGGAAACTGTCTTATTTAAACCTCAGATATATGGTCTGGCTTGCTATTTGTTTTTGGAGTGTGTGGTATTATTATGCCTAGATTAAAAAAGCCCTCTGAGACCTTCAGAAATAAGGTTTTAGATGCCTATGAGTCTGGGAAGGGGTTTAAGAAGATTTCCATAATATTGGAAATGAATCATTCCACTGTCCAAAAGATCATCTACAGGGGAAATTTAAAACCATTGCAAAAATGTTCAGGCCAGGCTGACCCAAAAGAAGTCTCTAAGAGCCCCAAAATTTCATCATAGGATCAGCAGGTAGCTCTTGCCACTGTTGATGTAAAAGTACATGCATCTACCATTGCAAAAACACTATACAAATTTGACCTACATAGGATGTGTGCCAGGAAAAAGCCTTTGCTGTCTAAATAGAAAACTGGGGCATGACTAAAGCTTGCTAATGAATATCTAGTCAAGGATCAGAAATTCTGAAACAATGCGCTATGGACAGATGAGTCAAAGGCGGAGAGGTTTGGCCACAGCACCAGAAGCAATGTTTGACAAAAATCAAAGACAGCATTTGAGCAAAAGAACATCATACCAAGTGCAAAGCATGGTGGTGGAAATGTTATGGTTTGGAGCTGCTTTGCAGCCTCAGGGTCTGGCCAACCTGCAGTCATAGAATCGACTATAAATTATGTTTCATATCAGAGAGTGCTCAAGGAGAATGTGAGACCCTCTGTAAAAAAGCTGAAGCAGACAAAAAAGATAATGATCCCAAACATACAAGTAAATCCACCAAGGAATGGAGGGTTATGAAATGGTCTTGTCAAAGCCCAGATCTGAATCCCATTGAAAAAGCTGTGGGGGTTTGGAAACAGGCTGCACATGCAAGAAACTTCTCAAACATCCCTCAGTTGAAAGACTTCTGCATGGAGGAATAGACAAAAATTTTCCCTGTAGATTTCAGAAACTTGTCAACAGTTATAGGAAATGCCTACATAAAGATTCTTCTGCCAAATATGACAATGTGAGTTACTGAGGACAATGGTGTACTTTTTTAACAGACAAAAATAACATCTCAGTTTTTTAATAAGTGATTGCAAAGTCAAATTTCCATAGTTTTTCATTCTATTCCATAGCATTTATCCATACATAGTGTTTAACTGAAGATCAAATATTGCTGTCCACATAGGCCAAGAAAAGTTCATGGGGTGTACTGACTTCTTTACATGACTGTAGGTGCATCAACCTCACCCAAAAAGAGTCTCATGTAAATATTAGCTGAAATCAGAATAAAGTTTCCTAAAGTGTCCCCACATGACCTGATAGTCTAGAAAACCGAATCCATTCCATCTCCTTTTCCCCTGCAGTTATGAATTATTATCTCACAGCCTTGTTTCTAAAGGTTCAGTCTGTTCCCCTGTTGTCTGATTTATGCAAGAGTGTGTTATTGTTCTGTTTGGCTTTTGTAATTTGTTTTGATTATTTAGCTCAAAGATATATTAAACAGTTGCCAAAATTATACTTTTGATAACACTTCCTATGAATCATACATACATAATACATTTTACATAAAACATTTACATAGTATAAAGCAGGAATGCACAAAAGTGTACAAAGTGTAAAATACATGTTTATCCTTTAATATAAGATCTAATCCTACAGGGTTTAAGAAGTAATCTAGAGAGAGGAGAAGTAATTTAAATATGAATATCTAATTTACTTTAAGTCCAAATTTTATATCAACATCTTACAGAGTACTACAAGCACCTATTTTACTTGACTACAAATGCAATTCCAAAAGAGTTGGGACAGTATGTGAAATGCAAATAAAAACAGAAAGCAGTGATTTGTAAATCCACTTTGACCTGTATTTAAATAAAAGCAGCCTTGACAAGATATTTTATTTCATCCACTTCATTGTCTATTGTAAATTGACACGTATACTGAAATGGATGCCTGCAACACATTCCAATAAGTTGGGACATGGCCAAATTAGGACTAGGAACATTGTTAAATGTTTAGAAAACTGTTTAACCTCTTTACATTCCAGGATCTTTGGGCCAATTGGGCCCATTAGGCAATTTAAGGGGTTAAAAGCAGTAATGTAATCATGCTTGAGTATAAAAGGAGCATCCAGGAAAGGCCTACACCTTTTTAAGCAATGATGGGCCAAGGCTCACCACTATACCAAAAAATGCATCAGCAAATAGCCAAACAGAGCAACATTCCTCAATGTGCGCTTGCAGGGATTTGAGATATTTCACCTGTTACAGTGCATAATATGATCAAAAAATTCAGGGAATCTGAAGAAATCTCTGTGTATAAAGGGCAAGGCCAAAAACCACAACTGAATGCCTATGACCCTTGATCCCTCCGACAGCACTGCATTTCAAACTAGCACGTTTCTGTGATAATATCACCACATGGGCTCAGGAATACTTTGATAAACCGTTGCCAGTAAACACTGCTCGTCGCTGCTTCCTCAAACACAAGTTAAGACTGTACTATGCACAGTGGAAGCCATATATCAACAATGCTGCCATCTTCTCTGGACTCAAGCTCATCTAAAATGGACTGATGCACAGTGGAAACATGTGATCTGATGAGTCAACCTTTCAGATTGTTTATGGAAATTGTAGATGTGTTCTCTGGGCCATAGAAGTAAAGGACCATCCAGATTGTTACCAGTGTAAAGTTCAAAAGCCAAGGTCTGTCGTGGTATGGGGGGGGGGCCTAAGTGGGCAACTTGCTGATCTGTGAGAGCATGATCAATACTAAAACCTTTCCAGTTCACAAGGTAAAACATCAAATATATTTTTTTTTACTGTTTTCAATTTAATACCAGTCAAACATAATTTACTAATAACTGCTTTATGTTTTTCTTTGTTTCTATTTTGTTTGGCATTTTACATACTGTCCCAACCTTTTTGAAATTGGGTTTGTACTTTCAAAAGCAGTTTCAATAGCCCATCATTAGCCTTACATATGCAGATGTGTTTAACAATGCAATATGCAGTAGATAAAAACATGGCACTTGTGTATTTCATGGATTTTTACATGTAACTACCTCTACTACGCGTTTGAAATGTCCCATGGGGAATACAAATGTTTTAAACACTCTGGGTTTTGCTGGCTCAGCTCACCGTATCGCCTGCTTGTTCAATGGCAAGGTCAATTAAGCTTGAATTGTGCATGGGTCAGTTAAACCAACAAAACCACTGATTTAACTGGTATGGTTGTGGAAAGGGAATCAAATTATGGCATGACATTGCCCATATTGTTGCTGTCCACTGGCCATGAATAACTCAATTGAGTTGGAGTAGTTTGGTGGGCAGCCACATAGTCTCTGAGGTTACAGAGAGCCAAGGGACGCTTTATTAATCTATCTGATTTCCACACTGTCACTTTCAAATGGTAAGACTGAATGATGTGTTTGGTTAACCCCCTTAATAGAGCACAAAGGAGACTGTACAATTCATTTGTAATTTTGCGTCCTTCAGAAAGGTTGTTTGTAATGACTTAATACCTTTTTTTTCATTATTTTTGTTTTCTCATTCGTTTATTTCTTTGAGGTAATATACATAATATTAATCTGGGCTCCCATTGATAGTCCATTGTTAGGCATCCCACAGTATCAGAAGCATATTAAATGAACAGATTGTATCATTAGACTATTAAACATTGCAAGCGTGATTCTTTCGTTACAGAGGTCTGACTCATAACGTCAAAATCATCTGTCTTGTATTTAAACAGGAATTCCACTGATTTTTCAAATTTTCTGCATAATTGAATTGCTGAGCAAAGCTATTTAGAGTGGTTTGATATGAACTAGTGCATTGTAGAGACAGTGGTGGTGATGGGAACCAGGGGTTGCAATGTCCACAACACAAATATAGCCATTTTATTTACTATCCAAAATGACTAGTGAATCTACGTATGTTTTTAAAGTTTTATATGTAATATTGATATTAGCATAAATATTAGCTAATAGTAAAATTGTGTTGAATCAAAAAAAAAATTGTATTGGTACTTCTTTGCCTTACAATGTCCTGCATGTACCTCTTTGCCAGAAACATATTTTAAAAACACATTTTAGGCCAAACTCTGATCTCCAAACTATTGAAAAATATATTTACGGAATCAGGAAGCATTTTCATAAACATGAGTAGTGGGTCA